AGAGAAACAATCGTTTCTTTTTTTTATTTCTTGTTGCATTAGTTTTGTATAGGCTCGTCTTTCTTCACAAGATTTCAGTTGTCCTACCTCAGGTCTCTAGAACCAGTGGAAAGTGATGATGTAACTACTGGGAAACTTTGTGACTGACCAAATTAAATGATACAAAAACATATATTCATATTGGTGATGGGACTCTTATTCAAAACCTAGCTCAGAAATCGCAGGAAGACTGTGACATTGAGTTGCTGAGATAACTGACAGGTATGCTTGAATGAAACACTTCCAGGAAATGGCAAAATAAATGAGTAATTTTGCATCACTAATGCACATGTAGGATGTCTATTAATTTACACCTGATATTCTTGAAAACAATTTACTTACGACTGTACATTGTAGATTTTACAAATTATTCGTATTTTTATACACTAACTCAGTTTTTTCTGATATATTAATACCCAACATTAAAAAAACTGGCTAATTTAATATTAAGCGATCATGAAGACAGGTCTAAAAAGGAAAAAAAGATTTCCAGTCTGACAATTGATTAAATTCTTATTCATCAAAAGCTTTCAGTGTTTCTTTAAATAACTCAGAAGAATTTTCATAGCATTTTCATGAGAGCTCAACCTCATCAACAGTCACAAAATTTGGGATAACTCTTTGATCTGGCCAATATTTAATTGGAATTTGTAGTTACTGAATGAAAGATCAATTCTATAAATGTCTATGGAATGAAGTAATTCCAATCTTCTAAAACGTGAACAAACCTCCGTGACTCCATCATTGACTAGAATCAATGGGGGACAAATAATGACACTATACACGGTGTATAACCCAAACGCTCCTACATGCACGACGGAGCGTTACATTTACGCGGAAACGCTCCGGAGCGAAATAAAATGGCGGCTAATGAAGATTCCACTATGACCGTAAGTATTGTTTCTCTCGTTTCTCTTACATATCATATGTTATGGTGAAATATTATGTACCATTCGATGAACAATACCGTGAGCAAAGATCTTATTTATTCAACTTCTGGTGGTAAACTGTTATTTGCTTGATCAAAGCTCCGTAGTGTAGATCGAACGAATCTGAAGATGACGTTTTGACCACAAATTACGAATTAAACCAGTATTTCTATGAAAACGTTAATCTTTCTGTTAAAGTAGTAGATCACAAACTCGTATATTCTCATTTCCTAAAATCCCAGTCCAAATCCATTACTTGTTCTCGAGAAATCGCTTGTTTTCCTCGAAACGCTCCGTCGATTTAGAACACAATTTTAGAAACGCTCTTACCATTTTGTTTTGATATCATTTTCAGATTATTAGAGAAGAGTCCCGAATCGAATCTATCTCTTAAAAACGTGTTGTACTTGTTAGGCAAATTGAAACATCTGAACCTGGTGGTGCTAAACGTGCAACTAGCTGATTTAAGCCTATACATTAGATGATGTCATGTCTACATATGTGCTAGATCATAAAACTATAGAAAAAACGAAAATTTATATGAGAATTAATCTTTCTTCTATTGATGCCTAAAGGGGTATAATAGATCTTTTCTTTCTCTTCCTGAAAAGGAAAGGCAAGCTATATATTATCTAAACTGATCTAGACTACCGGAGCGTTTCCAGTTCACTGTTATAATCAGATCGGAGCGTTTCTTGAATATGAGAATGTCATCATTTTTAAGACTGGATTTTCGGTCATCAAATCACTATTACGATAATGTATGGTGCGTTGAAGCATTGGAATTTGACTAAAATATACGTTGGTGCTCTAATCTTGGCTCAACTAATCAGATGTATCCACAAAAGGGGTTTTGACCGGTAGAATGACAAATACGTTTTTGAGTTTTGATAACTATACTGCTTCGTATAGCTCTTCCTAATTGCTTCAAATGTCAACAGCCAGTCACGTACAACATGAATATCACACCCATCGAATGGTATACTCGAAATATGTAACTCATGCCTCTTATTCCCATTATTAGGGAAATCGTCAGACGGCTCATCATTCCCGCCAGCCAGTTTTCCTACTCCGGAGCGTTTCTTTGTTTAATTTCAGTAATGAAACGCTCCGTCGTGCATGTAGGAGCGTTTGGGTTATACACCGTGCTATAGCTTGCTTTTGTAATAAATATACCAAAGTGGATCGCATTGTGGCTATTAGATTAGAAAAAGTGAAATTGAATGTGTCAAAAGTCGATAGCATTTTCTGATAACTTTGTCCCAAGCTAAATGAGCTGACTTGAACTGAGAGAGACATTATATATATCAACAATCTAGTAACATTCCAAGACAAAAAATATTTGAGTATCGATGTAAATGTACCTTAAAGTGGCAACAAAAGTCTAAAATCTCAATTAATTTTTTTGGAAAGTTTAACACATTTCCTCGTTGTTCCTTTACATAAGTGAATAATTTTACATTATTAGAAACAAAGAAAATAATACTAAAAATGTTATCTTGCTGAGAGGCTTCTCTCTAAATTACAAAGACAATGGAATACAGTGGATATAGTTGCTAAGGTCAAATGATTAGAAAAAATGAATGACATGTCAATCAGATGCCAATTTAGATAAGTTTTCTCTGACCCTACAAGATGATTTGATTTTACTTCAACAAAACAAGTCGTTAAATCCCAAATGTAAAAAGTATCAATGATTATCCAATTATAGAGCATAATGCATAATACTAGTTTGTTCCAGAAGTCCTCAGTGAAATTGTACATGTTTGTAACTATTTTAGTACATATTGTAAATATATATTGTTCAGGTCTATGACATATATTGTTCATGTCTATTATTTAGTACATATTGTAAATACATATTGTCCATCTCTGATTTAGTACATATTGTAAACATACATTTATAGAGTTTATGTCTATGATTTATCACATATTGTTCATGTCTATGATCTAGTACATATTGTAAATAAACATTCTATATTGTCTATAATTAAGTATATACAATGTATCATAATTATATATTCTGCAAGTCTATTAACTGTGACTGACCTTTAGGTGACTATAAAATATACCGTATTTCCTACAACCATTATTGCCAACAATATATTTCTTCAATCAATTAATCATACCTTGTAAGTCAAGATACCCTTTACCAAAGCCAGCATTAGTATGAAATGAACATGATTCAGCATTTCATATTTAATATCCACGTTAAAATCAGAGAAATGCATTTCAATTTTACCCTGAGCTCAGAATAATAGTGCACCAGACTCTGAGGAGGATTTATTATTTTCCAGTTTATCATTCAATCAATTGGAGAAAAGCAGAGTCGTGTTGACCTTTTGAAACCAACATGAAAATTGTTGTCATTGAGCTCTGACTGGCTCGGGGAATTTAGAGTATGATCACCGATAACGCAGATGCAGGTAGGAAGTTACCAGTTTCACCACCAGGTGGGTCATTCGGGTCAGATAGCATGGCGGGAATAGTAGAAAGTTCCCCTTAACTTAAATTACATCTGTTTTAGTAGTTCAATTTTCATATCACCCTTATGTACCTCATAATTATTCAAATTAATATACATGTATGTCCTGTAAAAGAAAATGTTATCTATCCAATACAAGAAAAAATATTTCACTTCAAGTGATTTTGTAACATGGGGTCTATGGGGGATCTCCCCGAACAAGAAGTCGCATTTTCAAAGTTTTAAATTTTCAAAGTTGATAAACAATTTTCGAAACCATATTTCTAGATGCACTTTTACATGTAGATTTCAAATGTCACATCACTCTGACTGAATTTTGAATATTTAACGACGTAAATCAAGATTTTTTTCTACTGGCACCTAGTCTATCGCCAAGAATTACAATTTGTTCAATTGTGACTCAAACAATCCGAGAATCATCACCTGTGTAGAGAGGGCATGAATTATTTATTTGGCAAGATCATTACTATATTGTGTGCATAGATAGTGTTCATTAGGGGTTTCATGATTAATTGTTGCACTAGTATAATTAAAAATGAAATCACCCTTCAACCATCATGGCCATTTCAATGTTGTCGATTATATAAAAGGGGATGCAGTGGGTATCAGAATAGGCTAGCATCAGGCCCTGCGAGCTCTTGTTTACCCCACACCACTAACATGCACACTTTCTGCACAAGGAAATAGATACTAGAAAGGGGTTGCAATGGTTTGATGCAAGACTACTATCAAAATGCCTATTGCCTTTTTATCTACTGAAGTTATTCTAAGAATTTCTGTTCGCTAAGGTCATTATAGCCATAATAACAATCTTCAAATTGTCACATTGTCATTGAAAAATCGGGTTAAACTCAGCCCCAGAAGAGCTTGAAATATGAAAGTGAAATGTAAATCTTCCTAAAAAGTGTCAATTTATAAGCACAATATCAAAGATACAAGCAATAATCTATGATTTACTTGATTAGCGTTATGGGAAATTGGTCATCAGATGGTATAAAAATCCCAGATTATGAATTATTCTAAAACAGCCTGGCTGACTTATTGAATGATATATTGAGAATACATTTTGGTAATTCTAAAAAGAAGATAATCAAACGAGGCATAAACATTTCAGATCTAATAAAAAACTGTCTGTAGAAATAATTCCTTCTATAACCCACATTGTAAATATTAAATCGCAAAATTTCTACTCATTTTAACTTATTTTGTACCCTTTCCACATCCTTAAAAGAGAGCTTCATCTATGTAATAATAGATGTAATAACATCTATGTTAATAACACCTTGTTTTTGCCATAGATTACAATAATAAATTACAACTTTAATAAGGCTTCTCTTCAGTCTCCTAGGCAATGATTAATATTAGACACTCTTGGTCTATTTCAATTCTATGCTGGATTTAACACAGTAATGACTTCAACACCCTCTTGAATCAATCATACGTACCCAAAAACATAACCAAGCTAAAACAAACATTTATGCAACATCAATGACTGCAAACCCCAAATTAGATTTTCTCTTATTTAAGTATAAAACCATAATCCAAACAATTGATTAATATTTCATAAATAGGTCACAGTAACCTTTTAATAACGATTCATTACATTCTAATTTATTTCAAATCCATTTCACACATCCAAAATCCAAATATACATCTAAAATATATGTTGTCTTTATTTGATTGACAGTTCTATTTTTGAGATGCCATATTTGGGCGCGAAATTGATGTCCTGTGTTAAAACTCCAAGGTCAAGCTGATCTGGTCACTCTCTAAGACAATTTAAAAATTGGTTTCAAGCTAAAAATGATCAAATCCTACCCTTTATTTCTCAGGAAACACTTATTTGTAGCAAAATTTACTTTTCAAACCATTGTTAGTTTTCTAATATTAGTTTATTTGATAACTTTTGAATATAAATTGAGTTAAACAGAAAGAGATTTTACAGGTATTAAAATAAACAGTTTTGTCAAAGAAGTTTGAATCAGAAAGTATTATTACAAAGCCTTTGCAAAGTAGAACCTTCTGGTTTAGCAAAACTTTGCTGGAATAAAGATAATGGCAATGCCAACAAATTGTAACAAATACCATTCAACATTTTGTGAAGCGACACAAAAAATTGCCGATTATGATTTCTCAATATGAACATTTACTTGATAGATATCGGCAGAAAAGGATTTTTTCTTTTTCTCCATAACTTTGTTGTCAAATGGATGATGAATTAGAAATCATTTCTGTTAATGTTGATGAGTTGCTGTAAAAAGTAATATACTTCACCTTGACTACACCCAATTATTGCTATACGGGCCCGTTGCAAGGGGGATTACGATGGGTTCGAGCGAACCCCCCTGGCCAAAAATTATTTCAAAATCATGCAGTTTTCACCATTCTGAGCAAGTGATTTTGGCCATTTTTGAACCAAAATTGTCAAAAGTGAACTTCCCACTGGAATTTTTCAAAAAGTGACCCCCCTTGGCAAATCCTGGTTACGGGCCTGCTATATAATGTGACTGGAGTCTGGTATTATAATTTTACATGCTGAATATACCAGCTACAATCCAACTGCTAGATTGATCTAGTTTCTTCATCATAATTAGCTTAAATGCTACACTTAATTAAATAAAGTGACATTATAATCTGTGATCATCATGCTTTTGCTCAGAACTGACATATTATCTAATTGGATAAAATATCATCCAGATTAATAATTTTTTGATCATCTTCAATTACCAGCAACATATCTTCAACATAATAAGTTCTGAGTTTATATCATTATTCTCAGATGTTCCTCTTGCTGCTATGTTACTACAGTAGAACCTGTATATCTGAGCACCTGGCTAATCCGAACACCTCCCAATCTAAACACCTTTTTCAGTCCCATTTTTTCCTCCCATTGACACCCATGTTAAAAAAAACTTAAAATGTGAACACCTCTCGATTTGAACAGTGAACATCCATATTTGAAAAATTAACCTGTCTTATATTTTCAAATTTCAAACTTGAATGGTCTTGATTATAATAGGGCTTACCAGCATGACTAGATTCATTTGAATCGGATTTTCAAATTTTTGAAATGCCATAAAGCTATGTGGTCAAATGATCAATAAATATGTACCGAGAATATGTTCACATTTCTTCAGAATCCAGAATCTAGCGAATGCAAAAATCAAATTGTTCAGTTTTAATGCTTAGCTAAATCATGGGCTTTCAACTTAGAGTTGAAAGCCCATGGCTAAATCATTAGATCAGGAGTCAAACCAATTGTTCATTTTAGAGAGAGAAATGGTCTGGTTCAAGTTGGATCAATGACATGGAGCTTTCAAATGTTTTATTTCACATTTTTAAAAGAGAGTTTCATCTTCATTTCTTGAACCATAATCCAGCCATTTGCAACAGATTAGACAACACATAGTCATATATCAAAATTTAGATTAGGCACAACCAGATTTGGAGTCATATGCTGTAATCATATACCTTCATATGTAGCTGGCGTTTATCAATATTCAAACTCCCATGAAGGGCCAACATCTTCTTACCCTAAAAACTGAAACATTTGCTGTCCTAGCCAGAGGTTACCAATTTCTGTTAGCTTCAGGGGATCAGGGTACTAAACTTGGCTGAATGAAAGATTTTACTCAAGTTCAACAAAGATATCACCTTCCATTTCTTCAACTGCATCAACACCACAGCCTCGTCATATACAGTAAATGCGACTTTATGCATTTCTTTGTTGGTATTTGTTATTATTTGGTCTTTTATTTTTTATCAATTTTTGCAGAGATCCAAATCATCAAAAGGAAATGGGAAATAACAAAGAATTTACTTGTCTACAACAACCTTTCTGGAGTAAGAAAATAAATCTTCAAAAAATATGTAACAGATTAATTTATATGAACTTTATTTCAAAAGAGCAGATACGGTAGGTTAATTGATCTGAACTTTTATATTTTGTTTACAGACATTTCTCTTATAAATCAAACTTTGGAATTTTTTCTAGAATAAACTAACTGAACTCATTTTTATGATAATACTCAATGCTTATATCACAAGCTGATAAAACAACACATGTTGAATACTTACAACAGATACTTAAGACATAGAGTTTATATTATGAGGGCATAATTCTAACCCGGGATTATGACTATGTCCCACACAATACAATATCAGACGTTTACACATGTTTCAAATAATTGAACTTATTACCCCAAATTAGTATAATTTTAACAAAATAACCTTAATTCAGTGTATATATATACATAGGTAACTTAAATTTAGAGGTATCATCGCAAAATCAAAGGTGTTATTTCAAATTGAAATGTGTCGTCTCAATATTATCTCAATTAAACTATTATCTAAAATCCAAATTGTATTACTTCAAATTTCAATGTATTATCTCAAAATGAAGATGCATTATAAAGTTTTATATGCATTATACAGTTTTATCGAAAAGTTTTGACATTCATCCAGTAATGACATGTTATATAAAACACAAGAACATAACTAAATAATTAATTAATTTGTTACTTAGTGAAATTAACGCTATAAGCAATTACCTGAAATCATCATTTAAAATGCATTTTAATCCTCAACAACATGGTGATCTTCAGTATATTCCATTTTGCACGTTAAATAATTCATACGGAGAGCTTCTAGGAGCCATGTTTGAGTAATAACCTGCCTGTTGGCTTGATAAGCCACATCAAACTAAATTGGTAGTTGCAATTATCAATTTTACGTGTATGTACAGTAAAACCCACCAAAAGTGAACAATGAGTGAAACTTGCCTAAAGTGAAAACTGAGTAAAACCTAAAAAGAACACTCAGTAAAACTTACCTGAAGAAAATACTTGATGAACCTGCTTTAAGTGAATACAGTCAAACCAGCCTAAACTGAATACTAAGCAAAACATGCCTAAAATAAATAATTAGTTAAACGTGCCTAAAGTGAACATTATGTATCTTCCTTAGCTATTTTTATCTATTATGATATGCCCAGAGGTCTCAAGTGTCCATATTTTGAGATTATGATATACCAGGAGAGCCAATGTGAAGTTTAATAGGATCAAAATATGTGCATAGACTTGGGGCATTATCTTCTGAAAATTCTCTATTTCAGGTTTTGCTGTATGTCGTGTATATGTGATTTTAACTGATTTATGGCCCAGTGTTAACATTCTGATTCTACATAAAACTGCAGAAAGCCATAGAGATGAAAAGCCATTAAAATAATACCTTTTGTAGTTTCTTGTGTCGATTTTTGGTCTAACACCTTCTCAGTTAAATCTATTTTCTAAATATGTACAGGCTAGTAATATTCTAATATAAATTCTCAATGCCAACCAAAAGTTAGCTTTCAAGTTGATAGAAAAGTGAATGCTCAACTAACCTCTGAGGGTAGAATTGATTTAGAAGTGATACACTGCATCGATTCTTTATTAATGCCTGGATGAACTTTTCAAGATCTCATTTGTATTAGTATTTTTAATCTAATTTGGATTTGGATTATTTGTCACGTGAATAAATGTTAACACAAGTCTAGATTTTCAAGAATTTTCTGAGTATGTGCCCAGCCTTGAAGATTTCAAGAAAATGCTGGCAAAACTGTTTATCCCAATCTGTACTGTGAGTGAAGAATGGGCAACAATTGAAAATTCAAACGTGTCATTCTACTTCAATACATCTGGGACAACAACTCTGGATATATGAGGGTTATGTTATAAGAGGTTTTGGATATGAGGTATATCCTGGGAGAAATTTTAGATATGTTACTGAGGGCCCAGGGGAGAGAGGTTATATATGGCTTTATGAAAACTAGAGATATCAATATATACTGGCATAACAGAAACAATGTTTGTGCCATTAACATTAATAGACTCATAATTGCAGGATATCATGGTATAAAAGGATCATAAAACTATGGTTTGTTACAGTGTTATGCTTTCGGATATTGATTTATAGTATTGCACAATTGCTTCTGGTATAAATGTCAAAAGAGTAAGATGACATATTTAATCATATCAGCTCAATGCACATGACAGCTTCTTATTAATTATGTACGAAAACATAATAAAATTGATCCCGTTCCCTACTGAATTGGCTACTTACTGAAACACATCTTTTTAGTTGTTTCTACATGTAAATCAATAGCTAATTACTGGATGAGTGTGCTATAAGTGCATCTATGAAAGGAAACAGATATATTCTATATGCCTGGAGACACAAATAATATGATTGCAATGTTAAACAACAAAAACAGATGTACAATCCTGTATAGACAGGTCAATATGAAAAGTCCTGTGGTACTGAATTAAGGGGGTCAGCTAGAATTCTTGAGCTGGTCAAAATGGTACTATGATCCAGTTGCCATGTTATTTTCCTATACCTACATGTAGAGAAAAAATCAACTGGTCTTTTTCAAACGTAACTTGGCAATGACCAGCGGACTGGTCCTTAGTTCAAGTCCTGACTGAATTCCAATTTACCATACCCCTATCATTACCCTGAGTATAAAGGGTACTCCATTCATAAGAAGGAGGAAATAGAGAAAGAGATGGGGCAA